CGAACTCGGGACCTTGCACTTTCAAGGCAGGAGCTGGAACCACTGAGCTAAATCCCCAGCCCTTAATATATGTTTTTATATATAATTTTTTGATACTGTTGATTGAACACAGGGCCTTCGATATGCTATAAAAGTGTTTTACCACTGACCTATATCCCCAGTCCTTTTTTAGTTTCACACATAACTTAGATTCAGAGTCTCGTGAGTTGCCTAGGTGGCAACAAATGTGCTCCCCCTGCCTCAATCTACCAAGTGGCTGATTATAGGTATGTACCATGACATCAGGCCCAAATACTCTTTAATGAAAATATTTATTTTTATTAGGCAGTGACCTTGTTCCAAAGGAACAGACAATAGTGATCTTCACTTCATGAGGTAAGGTCTTTCATTTTATTGATGCCTTTTTGACACTACTGTGAAAAGCCTGTTAAAAAAAAAAGGGATATCAATAGGTTTTAAAGTTCATGTTAAAATTCAAATATAGGTAGCCTTTTGTCTTATTTTTGTGTTGCTAAGACAAAATATTCAACATGCAATGTTACAGGAGGAAAAGTTATTTTGGCTTAGTTTGTAGAGGTTTCAGTTCATAGTTGGTGGTCGCCACAGCAGGATGGCATAGCAGAGGGCCATGGAAAAGCAGCTAAAGGCAGTAAAGCAGCAGCCATAAGCAAGGACAGCAGCCCCACATAGGGCAGGAGACCTCACACTCACGGTGGGGTACCCTCAATCCTACCAACGCACCAAGAATCCGTCCCAGTATCACACACCCTGGATGCAGCCACCTCCAAAGCTCTGCACCTACCACTGCATAAGGCTTTGGGTTATGTCTAGATACAAGCACTACCATCTCCCTCTGCCCACAAACCTTCAAGGAATGGAGTATTTTATAACCTGAAATTAGGTGGCCATTTACAAATGTCCTTGCATCTTTGACATATAGCAGGAATGTTAACATAGTTTAACTTGTAATTACTCTGCAGTATCCAAAACAGAAGTTTAACCTTGGACTTAGTCTTCATAAAAATTGTATGATACAAAGTACATTTGAGAATGTCAAATAATTCACCATAGCATTATATTTCTAAAAGTTTTTTTGCAGTAGAAATTCTTTCGTGGATCCTGAGGACACATCTTTGAAGAAGGAACATTTTGTGTTTATGTTGAGACAAGGTCAGTTCAGGCTAGCCTATAACTATGTGGCCCAGGCTGACCTCAAACTTAAGGCTATCCTCTTACCTTAACCTCCCACCTGCTGGTATTACTGGCATGTACCACCACGCCTGGCAAAAGTGAAGTTTCTAATCTCACTGTATTTGTCTGGTTTCACTCGAGAACAAATCCTTTTATGACAACAAAATGAACATTAGACAAAAGACTAATTCATTACATCTGTAAAGTTGCTCCCCAGCTCAACTATTCTATTCCAGTTTTGATGTTTGGATAAAAGCCTTTGCATGCCCATTACCCTCATATGGCTTCCCCAAAGATGTATTATTTGATGCCTAGTGAATGCTGAAGCTTGGAAGTCTCTTGTTGATTAAGCATATGCCTTTTATAACTGTTGCTCTTTAGTATGCAATGAGATATTATTGCTTGAATTCAACATGGTTTTGACACCCTTGTTGCATTTCTGGTATCACTCATATACAAATTCTCTAGTTTTATGCAAGGTGTGAATGTGCACATTCATCACATTTCTATGGTTTCTCCCCAGTACAAGTTATCTGATGTGTACTGAAATATGAGTGAAGAAGATAGGATTTGCCAAACTGCATTTTTCTAAGGTTTTAATAAGGATATATTTTGATATGTCCTGAGGCTTGAGTGCATACTCACAATTTTCCCTTATCATTTAATTTGTAAGGTTTCTTTCCAGTTTGAGTTTTTGAGTGAATACTAATGTCTGATTTTCACCTTAAGGCATTGTAACACCCAATACATTGGGAAGGTTTCTCTCCATTGTCGATTAGCAGTTAGTAACCCTTAAATAACTCAAGGCTTGTCTCATTTTTCACATGTAAAAATTATCTTTCCAGCTGTCATTGTTCAGTGGTTTGTAAGACTTGACCAATGACTGAAGACTTCTGGTACATTCATAAGCTTATTCTCCAGGATAAAATCTAATTCCAAGTTACAGACTGTCACATACAACCTTAACACCTTCTCCAGTATAGATTACATGTTTGGGCTTAAACCCATACTAACAGCTTTGATGAACTCACTGAATTTGTAAGAATCCTCTCCTGTGAGTCTTTTGGTACACAAGGTGTCAAATTTGACTACAGATCTGAACACTTTCATTACATTTCTAAGGTTTCCTTCAAGTATAAATTCCCCAGTGATGTGCTAGGGATGAGATTAGACTAAACAATTTGCCATATTAATTTGTGCAGTATCTCTGCAGTATAAATTCTCTGATGACATGCTGGAGTTTAGACAGAACATTTTGCCATATTAATGACATTTCAAAGGTTTCTCTCCAGTGTGGATTATTACATGTTCTGCCAGATATGAATTACAACTGAAAACTTTACCATATTCATTAAATTTATAAGGTTTTTCTCCAGTATGGATTCTCTTGATTTGTTAGCTATGATTTCTGACTGTGGACCTTGCCACATTCATTAATTCATAAGATTTTTCTCCAGCATGAATTATCAGATCTTGTGGAAGGCAGGAATTGTGATTAAAGACTATGACTATTCATTATATTGTGAAAGGTTTCTTTCCATTTTTTTTTTTTGGTACTGGGGATCAAACTCGAGACCTTGCATTTGCAAAGCAGGCAGCAGAACCATTGAGCTAAATCCCTGGCCCATGGTTTCTCTCTACTTTGAATGGTTTGATCTTGTACAGAGTGTGAAATTTGATGGCAATTTTTCCACATTGATTACATTTTAAGGTTTCTCTCCAGTATGGATTCTTTGATGCTTTGCTAGGGATGACTTACGACAGAAAACATTGCCACAGTGACTACATTTGTATGGTTTCTCTCCAGTATGGACTCTCTGATGCTTTGCTATATATGACTTGCGACTGAAGACCTTGCCACATTCATTACATTTGTAAGGTCCCTCTCCAGTATGAATTCTCCGATGATGTGCTAGGGATGAATTCAGACTGAACATCTTGCCACAATCATTGCATTTGTAAGGTTTCTCTCCAGTATGACTTCTTCGATGACATTCTAGGTATGACTTTTCTCTGAAGACCTTTCCACATTCACTGCATTTGTAAGGTTTCTCTCCAGTATGAATCCTAAGATGACATACAAGGCGGGAATTGCGACTGAACACCTTGTCACATTCACTACATTTGAATGGTTTTTCTCTAGCATGAATTATCAGATGTTCTGCAAGGTATGAATTACAAATGAACACTTTACCACACTCATTGCATTTGTAAGGTTTCTCTCCAGTATGGATTCTTTGATGCTTTGCTAGTGATGACTTACGACAAAAAACGTTGCCACATTCATTACATTTGTAAGGTTTCTCTCCAGTATGGATTCTCTGATGATTTGCTAGGTATGACTTGTGACTGAAGACCTTGCCACATTCCTTACATTTGTAAGATCTCTCTCTAATATGAATTCTCCTATGATGTGTCAGAGATGAGTTTAGACTAAATACTTGCCCACATTCATTGCATTTGTAAGGTTTTTCTCCGGTATGAATTCTTTGATGACATGCAAGGTATGACTTATGTCTGAAGACCTTTTCACATTCAGTACATTTGTAAGGTTTCTCTCCACTATGAATCTTACAATGATATGCAAGGTCAGAATTTCGACTGAACAATTTGCCACATTCATTACATTTGAAAGGTTTCTCTCCAGTATGAATTATCAGATGTACTGCAAGGTATGCATTACAACCGAACACTTTACCACATTCATTACATTTGTAAGGTTTCTCTCCAGTATGGATTTTCTGATGCTTTGATAGGGATGACCTATACCTAAAAAAATTGCCACACTCATTACATTTGAAAGGCTTTTCTCCAGTATGCATTCTCTGATGACTTCTAAGGTTAGATTTCTGATTGAAAACCTTACCACATATATCACATAGAAATTGCTTCTCTCCAGCATGGACTATCTGATGCACAGTAAATTGTGAGCATTGGTTAAACGACTTGTCACACTCATTCCGTTTGTAAAGTTTTGTACTAATGTGCATCACCTGTTCTTGTGTGAAAAATGGAGACTGAAGAAAATCATTTTCATATTCATGAGAAATATTGTTTTTGATACTGGAAGGATTTCTTTGGTTGGATGAAACTGAGGAATCACTGTTGACAGACTGCTCAATGTAACTCCACTCATTAAACTTCCTTTCTGTGTCAAATAGCTGCAATTTAGGTTGATGTGTCTGAAAGTTTAATCTAGGCCAATTTTTAATATGTTTCTTTCCTGCAGTTCTCCTACCATGTTCATCTCTTCTGTTAATGAGATTTTCCTTGTGATTCACACAGAATCCTGTGTCAAGTCTTCCATCCTCACTGCAATGGCACTCAAAGTCATGTATATTTGTCTGGATTTCTTTGAAATACAATTCTTGAATCTCATGGATTTTATGTCTTTCCAATATTACTGTGTGGAACATTTCTCCTGTATCACTTTTCCTTTTTGGTAAAAACTCCTTGATGAAACATTTAGGAGACATATCTATGAAACAGAAGAAATCATTGGGTTCTGATTAATTACAGATGGTAAATAAATTCCATTACTGAAACACATGACATTACACCAAAAGAAATAATTATACTTGAACAGTTATAAAACTTCATGATTTTTACTTTTTTGGAAAAAAACCCCTAGAAATGTCTGATTATACGTAATTCATATCAACTGCAGAAATGCTGTTTGAAATAAACTATAACCCAAACAGTCACTTTGCATAAACTAATTCAATGGGTACCCTTATTGTGGAATTTTTAGTCCCCAAACTTGTGACAAATAAATTTTTGTGATTTAAGCATGCTAATCTGTGTTATTTCTAATGGAAGATGGAGGTAAATGAGACATGAAAAGGATCCTTTCCTAAAAAGGATAGAAGGTCAATCAATTGTATTAATCAAAGAATCTTTGAGGGCTGGGGATTTAGCTCAGTGGTTCCACTGCCTGCCTCACAAGTGCAAGGCCCTGGGTTCGATCCTCAGTACCAAGAAAAAAAAAAAGAAACTTTGAAATATCTACTATAAAATAGCTATTATTTGTAACTAATTTAAACTATTATGTTTTTAAAAACCTAGAGCTAAGTTATTTTTAATTAAGGATAGCAGGTCAGTAACATTTATGTTTCTAACACTAATATGCAGACTGTGAGAGAAACAGAATTTGTTTCTTGGCCTGTATGCTTAGATAACATGTTCTAAAAGATACGTATTCACACAAGCAGCATATAGTATAACAAATCACAGCAAATACAAAAAGCATGAAACATTATTTAACAAAAAAGAGCTAGGCTGTGTTGTAACAGTGTCATTCAGCCATCCATTAAGACAATGTTATTTGAATCATTAACAGTGCATATATTGATTTACATAGTGTCCTCAGAACATCTAAAAATCAGTAGGTGTCTAACACTGTCAAGTTAATGTGAGAGTCCTCTGCAAGTCTATGTGTGTAAAAGAACATAACTATTAAGAAGCAGCAGTACAGTGCATCCAGAACAAGGAACAATATGAGAAAGAGCCAGCATGGAAAAAGACAAGCATGGAGGGCATTGAATAATGGGCCTGAGGAAGCAGAATTTCTGCTGGTAAATCTGTGGGAATGTAATTGTACTAGGGCAGTTAATATTCCAGCGTCTGTGGAAAAGAGAAACAGATGGTAAGGAAGAAAGCAGATTCATACATTCTAAAATATCTTTAATGAAATTTATCAAATTGAATGACCTGTAAGTACTAGGTATATCTTTAACAAAATCTTATTTATATATTCTAAGTGATTAGATGAAGAAATGTTTTAAGCAGGACCAACCTTGAAATAGCCAAGAAGAAGAAACAGTGAATTAATTCTGTTCCTACACAGAAACTCAATATAACTTTTATCAAGAGTAGAGCAATCTAGGAAATAATGGGTACAATGTGTTGATTTTCTGGCTTAGGAGATAGATATCTTTGAAGAAACAAGACTAGCAACAGGTCCACCCTTAATCATATTAGCAAAACTGAAAAAAAAAAAGAAAAAAAAAAGAAAAGTGAAAAAAGCTATTAAGTATTGAGGATCCTGAAGCATTGCCATGGCATGGGTCAATGATAACCCAAAGTAGATTATCTGCATTATCACTTGTTGCAAGGCCAGTAATGGCCTGACCTTATGTCACAATGCATGTGTCATTCACAGTAAACACACATTTCTCATCATAAGAATAGTGAGATGAGAATAAAATATTTTGAGCAAAGAGACTAATCTCTCTATCTTTTATCATTAGCCTACTTTTAGCAGTAGTGTTGTTAACTATTAGCTATTGCCATTAATATCATACTGTGCCAAATTTGTAAGTAAAACTTTATCACAGTTATGTATGCATAGGAAAAAGCACAGTATATTAGGGTTTGGTACAACTTGCAGGACAGTTCCTCACCTGGGGATTTGGAATGTAAAGGCACACAATAATGGACAACTACTGTAAGAAATGTTAGGGTAGAAAAATACTAAACAGAAAATAGCACTAAAATCCTGAATTAAAGGTTTTAAATAGAAGACAAATAACTGATAAAACTTATGGCTGGATTAACTAAGAGAAAAAGAGGAAAAACAACTAAAATCACCAAGAAGAAAGGGGACCTTACAAACTGCTGGTTCTATGCAAATAAAAAGAAACAGTAGTGCAGAAAAAATAGGTAAAATTCTAGAAATACATAAGCATGAGGAAATAGGAAATCTAAAAGAGATCAGAAGCAAAGAAACTGAATCAGTCACCAAAAATATCACCCCCCCAAAAAAGACTAGACTCAATGTTTTTAGAGAATGCTATGAAACATTTAAAGAACTAAAGCAATCTTCCTCAATATTGAGAATGAGGAAAGACTACAACACTTTTCCTATGAGGTAGCATTACCTTCACATGAAAGCCAGACTAAGATAATAACAAAGAAACTAAAGACCAATAATATCCCTGATGCATTTGGTGTAAAATCTTCAACAAAATACTATCAAAAGCACATTAAAACATCAAAAACCATGACCACATGAGATTTATTCCTGAACTATAAAGACACATCAATTCATGCAATGTACCACTTTGAGCAGAATGAAAGAAAAAAACCAGAAGGTCATTTCAAATGACAGAAAAACTATTTGAAAAAGTCAATACCGGCTGGCTGTTGTGGTGTACATACGTAAACCCAGCACCCGGCAGGGTGAGGCAGGATAATCACCATGAGTTTCAGGCTATAAAATTCCCCAATTCCACTAAGTGTATGTACCCTTCATAATTGAAAATATATTCTAGAAGAGGTATTTGTAAACCCACACTCATACTAGTATTCACAGTAGCCAAGGGGTAGAAGCATACCAAAAGGATAAAGAAAATATGGCTGTGGATTTGTTGTGGTTTGTTCCCCAAGGGTTAATGTTTCAGAAGCTTAGCCCTCAGTGTGGTGACGTTGGGAAGCAAAGGACCTTAAAAGAGGTGGAGCCTAGTAGGAAGTAACTAGCTCACTGTGGGTGCTGCCTGCAGGTCTGGCAGAGTGATTGAGTTCTTGTGAGAGTGCACTGTTATAAAGTGCACACCTGACCCCTAATACAGACATCCTGGCTTACCATACGATCTCTTCTGCACATTCTCCTGCCATGATGTCCTTACTAGAGGACAAACAAATAGTGACACTAGGTCCTGGTGTTTCAGATCCCCAAACTGTGAGCTAAATAACCTTTTGTTTATATATTATTCAGCCTCAGTGGTTTTATTATAGCAACAGGAATCAAGAGTAAAGCTCACACACAATGGAATGTTAGCCTTTAAAGAAATCCTGTTATATGAAATAAGATCGATAATTCTGGAGGATATTATGCTAAGTGAATGCAAACTGAAAAAGGAGAGTCATGAAAACACAAAACCTGAACAAGTTCACATATATGAAGCACCAAAGATAATAAAATTCATGGGAACAAAAAGAAGAACGGCAGTTGCTGATGGGCAAAGGAAAGAGTAAGATGGAGGAAAAGTGGATTTAAATACTCATGATAACCAAATGAATTAAATTCAAGCAACAAGAGAAATACGGTATATTCTAATTCTGCTAAGCTCCTATAATATACAGTGGCACTCCAGTACACCAACCAAATAAACACATCCAAGGACAAAAACCACACAATGATATCAATAGACTCAGAAAAAGCACTGGACAAAGTCCAACACACATTCACGATAAAAAAAAACCTCTACAAAAATTAAGAACAGATGGACTTTACCTCAATCTGATAAAAGCCATCTATGACCAATCAACAGCCAACATCACACTAAACGGTCAAAAACTAAAAGCTTTTACTCTAAAATCAGGAACAAGAGATAACGACATCTACTATCACCACTCCTATTCAATATAGTTCTTGAAACATGAGCCAGAGCAATTAGACAAGAAAAAGAAATAAAAAGAATAAGGATAGGAAAGGAAGAAGTTATTATTATTTGTGGATGATAGCATATTTTACACAAAAGACCCAAAAGCTTTACCAAAAGACATCAAGATTTAATAACAAAATTAAGTAGCATAGCAGGCTACAAAGTCAACACTCAAAAATCAATAGCCTTCCTGTACACAAATAACAAACTTGCTGAGAGGGAAATTTAGGGAAACAACACTTTTCACAATAGCATTCAAAAAAGTGAAATACCTAGAAATCAATCTAATGAAGGAAGTAAAAAGCCTTTACATTGAAAACTACAGTACTTTGAAAAAAAGAGTGAAGACGATATCAGAAAATGGAACCCAAAAAACCAATATAGTGAAAATGGCCATACTTCCAAAACTGCTATACAGATTTAATGCAATCCCAATTAAAAAAAACAACAGCATACCTCACTGAATTAGAGAAAACAATCTTAAAATTCATTTGTAACCAGAAGAGACCTAGAATAGCAAAACCAGTTTTGGGCAGGAGAGGAGGCATCACAATCTCTGACTTGAAATTATACTACAAAGCTTCTGTGATAAAAACAGCATAGTACTGGCAAAAAGAAAAAAATAAAAAAACGGACCTGAGTATCAATGGAACAGATTTTAGAAAATATAAAAATAACTCCAAATACACTCAGCCACCTAATCTTTGACAAAGGAGCCCAAACACTTTCACTGGAAGAAAGAGAGCCTCTTTAATAAATGGTGCTGGAAAAACTGGCTGTCCACATGCTGAAGATTAAACCTAGATGCATATTTCTCACCATGCACTAAACTACAATCAAAATGGATTAAAAAGCTAAATAATCAAACTAAAAAACTGAAACCCTAAATCTATCAAAGACAGAATAGGTAGAATTCTTGAAGATATAGGTGTAGCCAAACACTTTATGAACTAACCTCCAGTTGCATAAGAAATAATATAAAGAATCAACAAATGGGATCTCATCTTATTAAACAGCTTTAGCAGAGCAAAAGAAACCCCAACACAGTGTAGAGACAACAGACAAAACAGGGAAAAATTTTTTCCAACTGTTCCTCAAACAAAGGCCTAACATCTAGAATATATAAAGAACTAAAAAAAGAAAAAAAAAATCAGACCCTCCTAAATTTAAAGACCCAATCCAAAAATGAGCATCTGAAATAAGTAGATACTTCTCAAAGAAGTAGAAACAGAAAATGAATATACGAAAAAAATTTCAACATCACTGGTTATTTGGGAGATGGAAATTAAAACTTGATTTCATCTCAGTCCAGAAAGAATGGCTATCATTATAAAATTAACCAATAAAAATGCTGGCAGGGCTGTGAGAATAAAGGAACCCCTCTCTACTGTTGGTGGGAGTGTAGACTGGTACAACTACTATGGAAATCAGTGTGGAGATTCCTCAAAAAGTAAAACTAGAGGTTCCATTTGACCCAGCTATTGGCCTTCTCGTTATCTACCAGAAAGAATTAAAAGTATCATACCACAATGATATATGTACCCTCATGTTCATAGCAGCACAATTTGTGTTTTTGTTTTTAGTACTGGAGATTGAACTCAAGACCTTGCACTTGCCAGGCAGGTGCTATGCTGCTGAGCTAAATCCCTGGCCCAGAAACACAATTTGTAATAGCTAAATCTTGCAATCAGCCCAAATCAACAGGTGAATGGGAAAAGATGTGCTTTTTTTTATATATAATGGAATACTACTCTGCTATAATGAAGGATAAACTTGAGGCATTTATAGGGAAATGGATGCATCTTTTTTTGTCTTTTTTCTTTTTTTTTTTTGAAATGGATGCATCTTGAGGCCATATTCTTAAGTGAAATAAATTGAACACACATGTTTAAATATCACATTGTTTCTCTGCTGTGAGAAACCAAAGTGTAAATAACCAAGGTATATAATATGTATTGGGAAATGGAAAGAAAATATTCAAATGGGAAGGGGAACAAGGGAGCAGTGGAGGGGGAAAGGAAGAAGGGAAAAGAAAAAAAGAATAGAAGGAAAAAATGGAAACAAAGCTTTTGTAAATAAGGAGAGGAAGAGGGGTTGAAAGGAGGGGAGGGGTTGAAGGTAAAAACACAAATCAGGATATACCATGTACAGATACACATTCCCTATGAAGAAGAGGATCACTATGTATATCTAAAATGTGACAATGAAAAAATCAAAATTTAAAAATATATTACAGGTACTACTAATTGTATATATTAGTATACAGTTGTTACTATGAATGAAGGAATAAAAACATGTACTTATCCAAAATTAATACATCTGACTTCACAAATGTTACCAAGAGAACACACCTAACATTATGGACAAAATAAGTAAATGAACCACAACGGAGATGGCTTTATATAACATCACTATTGGTGACAGCTAAATGAGCAGAGAAATAGTCAACAGCATAAGTAGCAAATGGGAGCCAGAAAGAGGACAGCACCAGAGATGGGGTAACACGGATCAGGTGAACATCATAGGAAATTCAGGTAGAAAGAAAGATGGAGAATAAAACAGTTTTTATGTGCTAAACTCAAGAATGTAATTTCTAGGACTTCAGAGATTTTGTAGTAAATGAAGGTGATACAGGAGTGGAAAAGAATTGCATAAAGTGCCAGAAATGGGCTTAGTTTCCTACAAAATTCTATGAGACAGTGAAATACTAACCTAGTATAGCAAGATGGACACAATGAATCTACATAGAGAAGAATGATTCAGAAATATCATTGGTTCCAAGAAATAACAAATCAGTAAAATGCAAAGAAAATCCAGTAGTTATTAAATTGAGAAATACAGTAAGGGGAAAAGTTATTAAATAAGAATAGAAGGAATGTTTCTCTAAAGATGTTTCTGAGATTCAGACATAGATGAAACAAAAATGATATTATCAAGATATCAAAAGTTCCAAATTTAAAACCAATGAATTTAACAAACAAAAGTGTACTTAAACAATATGCTCTAAGTTAGATAAAACGAAAGTAAAGAAAATAATTAAGACTGTTCAAACAATTGTGGAACTGGGTAAACTTCATACAGACCCTTGCTGAGTTATACTTTCTGCAGTGAAGAAAAAAATCTTCTAAATACATACACCTTTAGAAAATCCTCGTTAGAACAGTCTCACAAACTGTAGTTGTAAAACAAATCACAAGTATCATAAAAAATATGAGACTTCTGACTACATACATAAAAAGGTTCATTTATACTACGTGGTAAGGTACAGGATGAAAGATTACTGTTGTAAAACCGTGAGGGTAGACTTTAAAATCTATGGTATCACTCAACCTCACAAGGTGTCTCAGTAAGATGCACAAAAACCATGTTTTTATAAGTTTGAGCTTACACTACAATGAACAAAGGTCTGAGCAAAGTTATCTTGTTGAAAATGAACAATGGCACCGTGGGCCACACAGGCAGTACTGCAAAGCCTCATGCATATGAGACCATGAACCTGAGAAGTGTGCTGCTAAGAGATTTTTCTGTGCCACTGAACCCTGCCTCAAAGGAGAAGACTGTCACTGTATGTGGCCAACACTGTCATGGTACCACAGAAAGACAATTCTGTGACAATCCTCAAAACAAAAGGCAGCTGGAAATAAGGCTCAGTTAGACGCTACCAATTTTTGTATATGTTGGGACAGCTCAGTGTAGTTTCTAGGGTCTTTCTCACCCTGACACAGGCTGAGAACCCCACTAAGGGTGTTTCCAGGGACACCTGGCAGGTGGGAGAACGAGATTCAAAAGTACAAGGCAAACTATTCTCCTTTAAGGGGTTTTATGTAAATACACACACTCCATGGAATAGTCCACAAGAAGCTATGTATAACCTCAAAGTGGGTTACCACAGCAGAGGAGGATGACATGTCAGACCCTAGGAATTTGTACATCAAAAGCCAATTGAACTGTGTGTTAGATACTTTGGAAGTTGAGGCAGGAAGACTGCAAGTTCGATGCCATCAGGGGAACTCACTAAGATCCTGTCTGAGAATAAAAATAAAAGGGTCAGGGATATAGTTCAGTGGTATGGTAACCCTGGGTTGCATCCTCAGTATCACCAAGAAAAATACAACAAAAAGTAAACATCAACGGAAAAATACTACAAATGTAAAAAAATTCAAAATCAAGAAGAGCCCAGGTTTTTCTCTACTCACACACTAGTAATGGTAGTGAAAGAAAAAAAAAATCTAATATGAAGGATTTGGGGGGACCTTGAGATTGAAATCTGTTCTGTCTACAACCTCAAGAGAAAACTGAGCAGCAGATAGAATCAAGAATGAAAGAGTCAAAGGAGAGACACAAAAGGGCCTTCCCACACAGCACAGGCAGGAACTGAGACTTCATAGAAGCTAATGACATATTATCGTCTATAATGATGGAGATGCAGGCTTTGTTTCTGAGCTCCAGAATGACCTGCAGGTAAAACATCAACCATGACCCTTGTTATGTGGGTGACAGGGCACCACTGGTGGTAAAAGAAACACAGGAAGTAAACATTTTCCCACAGACCTCTCCCATTACAGAAGTTTCCCAAATAGTACTTGATGGTGCAACTTCCTCTCTGCCCATCTGAGCTCTTACCTGTGGTCACACCTTCGACATATTCCCTCCCATTTGAGTTTCCAGATACTTTCACTTGACCATGTACACTCCAGGGCTCTCCTCCTTGCTCCAACATGGAAACAACATTCAGGTCAAAAGAAGAGATTCCTGTTTGGAAAAAGAAAGGCATGTGATGTGTGGTGGATTTCCCACACTCCAACCCTGTTTACTTGAGAAAGAGATCACAGTGTGATCTAGACAAATATTTCACTGTTCTACATAGATATCTAGCTCTCTGCCAAGGAACAATGATTCAAAAGCACAAGGATAAAGAAGTATTTTAAAAGTCTGCGATAAGGCTTCTTGCATATTTCAGAACTGGAACCACCACTTTGTGCCATATCTATCACAAAGAGAGCAGAGCACCTGAAGAAAGAGGACAGTTCAAGTGCAGAAGGTGCATTGTGAAGCTTCTCATTTCAGAGGCAACAGGGCATCTGTCTCAGTCAAACAATGCAGAGGATTCCATGAAGACACAAGGGAAATGCAGAGACACAGAGTACATCTGATTTCTGGAAGGAAGTCGTGCTTACCCAGGGAGACCAGGTTCCTGTAGTTCTCCAACATCACATCCCTGTATAAAGTCCTCTGAGCAGGGTCCAGGCCTTTCCATTCCTCTTGGGAGAACTCTATGGCCACATCCCTGAATGTCAACAGACCCTGAAATGAAAAGCATTTCACCTCAGTGAATTGGGGAGAGTTATAATCTCCATATATAATGAAAAGGGGGGAAATGTAAAAGTCACTTCAAATGAAGCCAGTGAACTAGATCCATGCTGTGATGTCAGGAGTTTCCTGATAGAGGTCACTTTGAATTTCAGGAGTGATAATGATGGTTTTATACGCTAATGAGGTAACTGGTGGCCAGGGGTTCCCAGGGAGCTTCAGGACAGGGCCTGGTCATCACGAAGACCTAGGCAGTATTAGACGGTTATGACATTCACTCCTACCCTCATCTTCCCGGGAAGGGAGAGCATCTAAATTTTGAATTCATCAGGAATGTCAATAACATAACCAATCATGCCTTTGTAAAGAAGCATCCATAAAAACTCAAAAAGACAGGGTTCAAAGGAGCAGTCCGATGGATGAATGTCTGGGGGTTTCTGGATGGTGAAGCATCCACAGAAGGCATGGACACACCATGTTGCTTAGCTCATACCTCACCCTCTGCATCTTTCCCATCTGGGTGACCATCTTTTTAACAAGCTTCATAAGAAATGCTAAGGGTGAGTGTTTCACTGATTTTCGTGAACTGCTTCTTACCAAATTATTTGAACCCAAGAATGGGGCTGTGGGAACAGGAATCCCCATTTAGAGCTGATCATTCAGAACCACAGGCTGCAACTTGTGCCTGTAGCTGTCATCTGATGTGGGGACACTTCTGAGGGTCTTAGCCCTCAATAGTGGGATCTAGGGTATTTCTACATAGACAGTGTCAGAATTGGATTGAATTAGGGAGCATCCCCAAAGAACTGCTTGCTTGGTGTGTGGAGAAAAATCCTCACATATGTGGAGTGACAGCTCTCTGTGGTGAATGGATAGGAGGAAGTGAGTTTGTTTCTCCTATATACTCACACACAGCAAGGTATCTTTGAGCATGTTATAGCTCTGCAATTGTGTTTCAGTATACTTTTACATAAGAGGCTATACTACTTACATCACATATAGATCTCTCCTTTTGTGGACAACTCCACCAATAGACAAAGAAGAAATCAGCAAAGCTTTTCTCTATGAAAGTACCAGATGTCATGTCCAACACACTAAGTGATATTCAATATATACATGGGCTAGAGGTTGAGATGTGTTTTGAGAAATGACATAATTCATAGCAGCTTTAAAGAAAGTAAGAATCTATAAAGCATGAAAGTGACAGCAATAGTAATGGCTAAAGCTACTGGACACTTGTAGGTACTATATATTATTCTAACTGCTTTACATGTATAATTCTTAGAAAAAAAGAGCACACAAAAGAAACAATTCCCTCTTAGTATGGAGAAAACCGTAGCATGGAGACACTAAGAGACTTGTCTCAGGTCAAAAAGACAAAAATGGCAGAGCAAGCGCCTGAATCTAGGGGCTTGGGAATCACAATGAAAGCCAAAGAATCAAATAGAGAACAACACATAGCATGAAAAATAAATTGACATTAGGTTTCCTAAACTTGAAAGAAGTTCAGGATAACATCATAAGTCTGCATGAAAGTTCATTATTTATGCACACACACATGCAGGCAAATTATGTTTGTTGCTGCTACCAATGTATTAACATGATAGTCCATTACAAATTTAATGGAAAAAAAATCTAAGATATAGTTTCTACCGTTAAAAAAATAATAAAATTGGGTTGAGGATGTAGCTCACTTGTAAGGCACTTGCCTAGCATGCATGAGCCCTAGGCTTCAGCTGCAGCATTGAAGAATAAGTACACAAGTGAAATAATAATGTGACCTTAATAAAAACCATGGAATTGCATATCCACATACTAAGTCACACTCAATACACTTAAATCAATAAATTTAAAAGAGGGCTCTTTTTTCAGTGATTTTATTTTTATCATCACTTATTTCAATGTTTATTTCAGTATGTATGGACGATGAAAATGTAAAAAATGAACTTTAGATGACAAAACACTACTGTTTATTAGGATTTTTTAAATGGTACAACATGAAAACTTGTATAATGGAACCTGAACTCCAATGTCTAAAAAAATACGCATACTAAAAATATATTTAGAATGTATTTAAATTAAGATATCCAGGCATTAGGAAAACTCAAATGAAATTTATTAGTTTAATAAAACTATAAGATTAAGACTTTTTTGAAAATCTACTGTACAAGGATCAAACCTAGTGCTTCACGCATGCCACACAAGCATATTATTTCTGAGCTACATCTCCAGCTCAGAAAATTTTAAACAATTCAATCAATTTAATAGATTAAGAGATAGGGATTTATCTCAGTGGCACTGTGCCTGCCTGGCAAATATAAGGTCCTGAGTTCAATTCCCAGTACCAAAAAAAAAAAAAGAATTACTGAAAAATTAAAAAGCAGGAGGAGCCATTGGTGCTGCCCCGCCCCCATCTGCACCTCCCAGCCAGGAGCTGTTGGGTGAAGAGTGGAGCCACGCGGGCACCTGCAGCACCACTCCCCCCAGCCTCTGGATCCACACTGCAGAGGCACTGGGGCTCATACAGGCCATTGTCCTGAGCTCCAGAGGATATAGCAGAAGTGAACAACAGAAAGAGGGCCTCTCTCAGGCTCCTTGACAAAAACTGAAGCCCAGTGAAAAAGTGAAGAGAATCACTGCAATAAAGGCACACCAGACCACCATAGTTGGTAAGTTGGAGGGATCACCACCTCCCATCAGAACCTAGACTATCTTCAGGGGAAGGACAGCTGGAACCTCCAGTAGAACCTTGCAGAGTTCAACCCTGCGGATCAGGGAGCTCAACTTGGGCCTTGCAGGCAGAAATCAGCCTGAATCTCAAGGGTCTGCTACTGGCTTGCTGAGACTAATTTACTTCAATCAGCATACTGCAGCCCACGTTGTCTATTGTGACAGCAGAGACATACCCTGAAGGGGGCCCTTCATTTTTATTTTCAAAATTACTTTTTCTCTTATTTTTAATTTTTAGTTTTCATTTTTTTCTCTTTTCTTTTTTTTTTTACTTTTCTTTCTCTCTTCCTCTCACTCTTGCTCTTGTGCTCTCCCATATTGTTCTTCATCTCCCTTTTTGTTACAGTTTCTAGCTTCCCTATTGCTGTTAGGTTGTTCTGTTCTTGTCTTTGTTCTTTCATTCTGTTTTTTCTTCTTGTCTTCACACAGTTCCCTGGAGTTTGCATGATCTTCCTGTGTCCTCTGGCCTCACTTCTAACCTTGCCCTATCCTTCTACCTATATATCCCTCCCTCCCCAACTCCTTCTAAGTCCCCATCAGAAAAGTCAAGTTGCTATACTGAAGAGTTCACTCACTATAAACATATTTTGGGCTGGCCCTTGATTTTGATTTAATTCATATGGTTAACAGTGATAGATTAATAACTACCACAAACTGTCATTTTCTAAACTGTGCTTGATGCTATTGTTGCTGCTAATTGTATCACTTGGGCTAAGCTGCTGTGATTGATCTAATGAGTTATCCTTCCTGGTATAATGAAAATGTGATTGCCCCAGAATCATTACAGACTCAAAACCTAAAGACCAGCTATATCTGGAAGACACCTCTGAGAAGCAATCATCTGATAAGGGTTCTAAATACAAGCGACAAAGATACTTACAATAAGCATTATTGAAGTATCAACTCAGGAATTTAACCAAGGACCGTACCAACAACAAAAACAGAAATGAGAAGACATCTAAGCAAGGCACAATCCCAGACTTCCAGCTCACAAAAGTAAATTCTGGGGGAAAGAAGGTGAAAAAGTCTGATATTCAACCACCTGGACACCCTGAACTGATAGCACAGGAAGTAACAAAACAGATGAATGAAGCTCTAGAAAAATTCAAAACAGAAATAATTTCCAAAATAACTGCAGAGATGGTGAGCACATAAAAGACATGATTAGAGACTCTAGAACAGAAACAGTTAAAAGAAAAATAGATGAGCTCAGGACCATGATGGAAGCCATGAATGCCAAGCATAGGAAAGAAATGGAAACCATGAGACCTCAACATAGAAAAGAAATGGAATCCATGAAACAGATTCAAACAGATATCCAGGAGATTAAAAACTCTATTGAAAGTATGCACAAGGGCCAGGGATTTAGCTCAGTGGTTCCGGCACCTGTCTCGCAAGTTCAAGATCCTGAGTACAATCCCTGGTACCAAAAAAA